AAGAAATTGAAAAAATAAGCTGATCTTAATTATATGCTGCATATTTGTTACTATTTCGAAGCTTGAACAGTGGATTTCAAACGCATCCAAGTGCAGCAAACTGTGATCTGTTTTGGTGGTTTAGTATGACGCAATTCTAAGTTAATTCCTAAGTTGGTGCACGCCTTATCTGTCGTGTTACTAGTAATGTTATCAGCATGTATAATATGGAATCTTTGTCGTCTTTCAAAATGTGTCCTGTCACATGTCACAGAAATGTATTCTCACATTCATCATGGTCTTGTTGGAGACTGGAACAAACTTGCCAGCTGTGAGTGTAAACTCCTTGTTGGCTGAGGCGATGATGAAGATCAGACAGCGCTGGAACGGGATCCCCACCCAGTCGCACCCACAGGCCGCGTCTCTAACACTTTCAGCCTGGTAGAAGGAATCATATTGTAATGAATAACCATGAGTTTAACTGTACTGACACACTGTACAGTATATTTTAAGTGTTCATTAGAAGGTCGACTCGCTCCTACCTGTTCTGACAGTTCGCTTCCAAACCAGCAAATTTCATACACGGTACCTGCCACCATTAAGTATATTATCATAGACTGTGATACATCTGTATGGTCTCCCCAGCTCTATAAAATGGAACATTAATTTATTTCTTGTTACATTGCGACTGATTATGGAAATATACGTCTAGATATTGTCCTCAGCAATCTGTTATCGTGTTGAGGTACATACGTTGAAAATGTTTCAAACTTAAGTGCATGAACGAATTAATATCAGCGACAAGCGTAAACTGCTCGAAATTAAGGGAAAAAGAAGTAGATTTAGCTTTTACATCGTCGATTTGATTGTGTGAGAAACATATGAAAGTAATAAATCACGTAAAATTGTCTGGAATATTTTTAATAATGAACTTAATTATATCATACTAAGAAACTTAAATAATTCTCTTATATTACCACTTTTTACATGATTTGAAAAGTTATGGTAAATTATGTCGTAAATGAAACAGACGTAGTAAAATGCAGAAGAATAAATGTTGTACATTTGTATGCAAATGTCGCAAAATAATATGATATTGCATGTTCTATTCTTTCTGAGAAAATATACTTATTTCACGTTCTTAAAGAAACATCGTTTAACGATTTCTGAAACTTACTGGCAGGTTTTAGAATAATCTGACTGCACGGACACATCACATAGTTAGGCCTACTTCTACCCTGTCGGGGCTTACTTGAGTACTTACCGTGACGACGGAGAAGGCGACAGTGCACATAGTTGATAAGGAAATCAGAAATACTCCCCACAGCGGAAGGTTCAGTGTATTTTCCAGTGCTTCCAAGTATCTGAAAATGTAAAGATCATTTATGAACATTCTTTTTGCCCTCATTCGAGTTTGTAATGTCAAATTGGTTTTTCATTGGTTAATTACAACTGCACCGTTTTATCTGTTGGTGGTGCCGAATGCAGTCGTTGAGTTGTTTTTGCATGTGACCGAACAGTTCCTCAGGGGTGAGGGGATGTCCCTCTCCATCCTTTTTGTTGGTCTCTGCCCCACATTCCTGTTGTGATGTGAGATGTGTCTGTCTGATGTCCAGTAAGGCCGCTCTGAGTTTCTCCAGCTGACTGCAGGCCACACATATCAACGTTGCGTTCAGGCAAGCGAATCCAAAGAATATGCACATTATGAAGAGTGATGCAATGCCCTGTGGACAATGAATTTATATATTGTAACTAACTCCATGAAACAGATTGCTTCTTGAGAAGCGAGTAGTATATTCAGCTAGTCAATAAATTTCGCACGTTTTATGAAACCTTGTTTTTTTAATTACCGGGTATGGAATAACCTGTCATCGGTCCCTATCTTGAGATACTATTCTCTATTTAAATTATTTTTTTCAACGTACAGTTTTTTTAATATTGCTCAGCTTTAAGAAGTAAATCTTTATCTCGTTTAGAATAATAATCTAAGAAAAATGTGATTATTTGTTTTATTTAATGATATTGTAATAATGCTCTTAAAAATACAAATCCCAATCAAAGATTTTCCTTTATTTAACGAAATTGCTGCAGTTTAATTTTGAAGGTCCAGTGCCTAAGTAATATATTTCACGTGCATAAAGTTTGGGTGTAGTTTCTGAATTGAATACAGTTTAGAACATCGGGTTATTTCTTTCCCTCTACCTTCATAGAAGTTTGTATTGATTTTGCTGAAAATGTCGTTAACGTTGTGATGGTTAGCTATGCTCTGATAGATGTGATAAGTATTGTTTTTCGTGTGCGTAACACATTTATAATACATAAATTTGGTATTCATGGTAGCTACATTGTAGCCAAAACATATTTTAGTATATTATTTTGTTAAAGAAATTGAAAAAATAAGCTGATCTTCATTATATGCTGCATATTTGTTATTATTTCGAAGCTTGATATTAATTCCTAAGTTTGTTCACGCCTTATCTGTCGTGTAACTAGTAATGTTATCAGCATGTAATATGGAATCTTTGCCGTCTTTCCAAATTTGTGTCCTGTCACATGTCACAGAAGTGTATCCTCACATTCATCATGGTCTTGTTGGAGACTGGAACAAACTTGCCAGCCGTGAGTGTAAACTCCTTGTTGACCGCAGCGATGATGAAGATCAGACAGCGCTGGAACGGGACGGGAGTTCCCACCCAGTCGCACCCACAGGCCGCGTCTCTAACACTTTCAGCCTGGTAGAAGGAATCATATTGTAATGAATAACCATGAGTTTAACTGTACTGACACACTGTACAGTATATTTTAAGTGTTCATTAGAAGGTCGACTCGCTCCTACCTGTTCTGACAGTTCGCTTCCAAACCAGCAAATTTCATACACGGTACCTGCCACCATTAAGTATATTATCATAGACTGTGATACATCTGTATGGTCTCCCCAGCTCTATAAAATGAAACATTAATTTATTTCTTGTTACATTGCGACGGATTATGATAATATACGTCTAGATTTTGTTATCCTGCTGAGGCACATACGTTCAAAATGATTCAAACTTTAGTGCGTGAAAGAATTAATATCAGCGACAAGTGTATTCAGCTCGTAAGTAAGAAAAAAAGAAGTAGATTTAGTTTCTACATCGTGGATTTGATTGTGTGAGAAACATATGACAGTAATACATTACGTAAAATTAGCTGGAATATTTTTAATAATGAACTTAATTATTTCATACTACAAAACTGAAACACGATTAAGGAATTCTCTTATATTACCACTTTTTACATGATTTGGAAAGTTATGGTAAATTATGTCGTAAATGAAACAGACGTAGTAAAATGTAGAAGAATAAATGTTGTACATTTATGGTCAAATATCACAAAATAATATAATGTAGTATGGTCGATTGTTTCTGAGAAAATACCCTGGTTTCACGTTCTTAAAGAAACATCGTTTAACGATTTTTGAAACTTACTGACAGGTTTTAGAATAATCTGACTGCACGGACACATCACATAGTTAGGCCTACTTCTACCCTGTCGGGGCTTACTTGAGTACTTACCGTGACGACGGAGAAGGCGACAATGCACATAGTTGATAAGGAAATCAGAAATACTCCCCACAGCGGAAGGTTCAGTGTATTTTCCAGTGCTTCCAAGTATCTGAAAATGTAAAGATCATTTATGAACATTCTTTTTGCCCTCATTCGAGTTTGTAATGTCAAATTGGTTTTTCATTGGTTAATTACACGAAGAGTTGATTTTGGTTAGGTGACGTCGGGCACTGATTGAATACGAATTTTCCAGCGGCTTATGAGCGTGCTGAATGGACGTAGATGTGGGAATTATGGCTTAATTTTGGATTTTACACGACGACATATATTTTTACTAATTTGTTTCGATCGTGTTTCATAAATGGATAATATATTAAGTTAATTTATAATTTCAACTACCATCGGCTTATTTAACAACGAAATATAAGGGTTCATTTATATCACATGAGTTTTATTGAATTGGTTATCAGAACTACAACAATAACTACTGCTCTACTTTACGTTAAGAATCTCTAATGTCATGCTCCCTGACTGGTGTCTGTACTTTTGTCCTTCATCTGCAGAAGAAACATGAAGAAGGACAGTGTCTGATTCATCATCTGTGAAAAAATGAAATACATGATATTATAACCGAAACTGTAATCGAATAAAATTTATTTTACGTTATAATTTCGTAATATTTAAATGAAACACATGTTTAAGTGTGTATTATTTTGTTAAAGAAATTGAAAAAATAAGCTGATCTTCATTATATGCTGCATATTTGTTATTATTTCGAAGCTTGATATTAATTCCTAAGTTGGTTCACGCCTTATCTGTCGTGTAACTAGTAATGTTATCAGCATGTAATATGGAATCTTTGCCGTCTTTCCAAATTTGTGTCCTGTCACATGTCACAGAAGTGTATCCTCACATTCATCATGGTCTTGTTGGAGACTGGAACAAACTTGCCAGCCGTGAGTGTAAACTCCTTGTTGACCGCAGCGATGATGAAGATCAGACAGCGCTGG